TGTTGTCTCCCCCCGCCCGACCCCCTCCTCACACCCCTCAGCCAGCCAGGAGGTCATCTTCGTCCCCAAGTGCAATGGTGACTGTGTATCTGGGTTACAGCCATGACAGGAGCTTACGACAGACTGCAAACATGGTGACTAAGGACCTACAGGGGTTATAGGAGTTCAGGGAGCTGAGTAGGAACGACTGCTATACTGGGAATGTGGGGGGCATAGAACGATAGACTGGGGCTCGCTCAGGACGGGGGTAGAGGCCAGGAGATACAGGCTCCCGAGTTTGGGAGCAATAGGGGATGTGACACTGAGCCCATGGGGCTTCAGGGGATTTTGCTGGGGCGACCTCACAACGCTTTAAATCTGTGGTAGACGATCATGTGGGGAATGGTATCGCTGCAACAGATCAGAAAGACACATATCAGGGGGGGCGAACTGGGGTTTAGATTCTCCTGGTTACTCCTCGCCAACAGAATCTCATGATGCGATGAGCATGTTCATTTCTGTACTGGGACGCTGGACCCGTTTTCCAGCAGGTGCAGCTCCCCACCAATAGATGGAGCCTTAAAAAAGAAAAAAAAACACCCGGGGCTTTTTAAAAACGGAAAAAAAAAAAAAAAAAAAAAGAACAAGCTAGGGGTGCTGATAGGAGCAGGCACCACTAGCACTCCCCGGGAGGCTCCATCTATTGGTGGGGAGCAACACCTGCTGGAAAGCGGGTCCAGAGTCCCGCAACATTGTAGTCGTTTGTCTTTGCAAGCATATACGGCATGCTGCAGGGCCTACCTAGCAGGGAGAGAGTTCGCCACGCAGAACAGTTACTACACAGCAGCCCAAATTGCTTGCCAGCATGATAGTGTAAGTACAGGGATATAGTAACCACCCGTCCCTTGGGCATTTCTAAGAGAGGTGGGAACAGATTCTGAGTGTTCTGCTTCTCCCCAATCAGTCATCTTGGATCTCACTCTCCTATGCTCGATCGGCAGTTCATGCAGGCAAGCACACCTCCCATTCCCCACCTTCACTGGCCCATGGTCATGGACACTTCTCCTAACAACCAACGTCCAATGACACGTTCAGCCCTACCCGTAGAAAGATTTATGAGCCATTGAAGTATCACTGATGGATGTCTGAGGGATCTCTGAGGGATCCCGAGCCCATGTGACGGAATGCTACTAGAACTAGAACTTCCCTACATGTATCTGACTGCAATTGTGGCCAGATCTAGATGAATCTGACCACAATAACGTCCAGAACTTAGATGAGGAAACTTTGAATTATGTGGGGCGGCTGGGGGACGCTGACCGGTTTTCCAGCAGGTGCAGCTCCCTGCCAAAAGAGACTGGCCTCACTTACGATGAATGCCCCCCATGACATTGCCCAAAAGCCCTGCCATCTCAAGTCGGGTACACCTGCCCTCACCATGCCTCGGGGGGACAGGCAATAGGAAGGACAGGGAACTCTGCCAGCATATGTCAGTTGTACAAACATTTGTCAGTCATTGATATGTCCTGTAATATGAGGGAAGCTGGACCCTGTTTCCAGCAGGTGCAGCTCGCCACCAATAAATGGAGCCTTCAACCGGGGACCCACTTAGGGAGGCTGCTCTTTTTTTTTTTTTTTTTTTTTTTTTTTTTTCAAATTATAAGGTCAGTCAGTGAGTGCACAGTGATCGCCTGGAACTGTGAGCCGTGGGTGTCCCTTATGAGACCCTATCCCAACCCATCCTCGCGTCAATACTCCTAGTGCACCCCCTATCCCACTATCCTACCTCAGTGTGACCAGCACTCAGGACCATCGCCCTACCCACGAGCAGGCAACTTGGACCGAACAGCAGTGTAAATGGTATCCGCGACTTGAAGTTCAAAATAATAATAATAATAATAATAATAATAATAAAATTGATCATGATTTCTTTTTTCTTTTTAGTGTTTTAAAAGGCTAAGGATCTGATCCGACATGACATCAAAAAAAGAAAAAACAAGAAAGTCCCTAAAAATAAGGCAACAGGTCGGACGCGGCGGAAAAGCAAACTGGGACCCCACAGAGGCGGGTTCTGCGGGTCTTTCCCAACTACTGCGGCGGGTTTCTTTGGTCTTCTACGGAGACAGACGTTCCTGCGGTCCGCCGTATGGCCTGGCCTCACCATGTGGGTGACACAGACTACCTCCTGAGGAAGGGTGGGCATCGAAAAGGCCAACGCATTTTCGCGGCAACTTTCCCGGTAGGGGTAGGGTCCTTGAGCTTTCCATTTTTTGTAGCGTCTTTGGGGTCGTTCATCACAGGCTACGCGCCACGTACACATAATCCGAAAACGTACCCCTAACAAAGCGCAACGCCCTTGTTTCTCGGAAAGTAGTGGGATCCATGTTTCTCAACAAAATTGCCTGTTGGATCAGAAGTTTTTTTTTTTTTTTTTTTTTTTTTTTGAAGCAGCAGCACTTGCGGGGAACCGGGCCCAGCGCCCCATATGGAAATTTACATATAATTTTGATGATTGAGATACCGGGTCCATTACCCGGCTTTGGCTCAGAAAAAATCGGAGCTACTTAGAAAATGACTACAACAAAATTCAGAATATGAACAAAATTCAGAAAACTACTCAGAAACCCCCCCATCCATCCACTTTACCTCACTCCAGCAGGACTTACTGCAGCAGAGCCACCATCTCCGCTGCTGCTATGCCCTATTCCCATCCTACCAGCTAGCCCCCTCACTAGTAGGACGCGTGATATCCCACCATCTCCTTCCCCACTCCCCTCGTTCTTTTTTGGCTCAAAAAGTTGGAGCTACTTAGGAAATGACTACAACCAGCTTCAAGAATCAGCAGAATTCAAAATCCGACTCGAACCCCCCCCCCCCATCAATCTTCTGTTCCTCACTCCGGCAAGACTTACTGCAGCAGAGCCACCATCTCTACTGCTGCTATACCCTATTCCAATCCTACCAGCTAGCCCCCTCACTAGTAGGACGCATGATATCCCACCGTCTCCTTCTCCCACTCACCTCGTTTCTTCTTCAGAATAGACCGCCGGGGTCCTAAAAGAAAATCTAAAAATCTCGACCTCATTAACAAACCTTTCCAGAGTTCCTCAAAGTTGTCTTACTCCCTGCCGAGCTCTTCCAGGCCTCACACCCCTACTTCCTGCTAGGTTACAGGGCAACACAACTTTCCCCAGCTCCGGCCAGCATCAGAAGCTAATTATTTTTTTGTTTTTATTTTTGTTAACTTCGTATACAGGAAACCTACTTAACGAGGTGATAAGAGCATCCCCATTTAGTAGGCTCCAGCGTCGAAGGCTCCATCTATTGGTGGGGAGCTACACCTGCTGGAAATCGGGTCCAGCGTCCCTGTACAATGATGGATGTGTCAGCTGGCAATCGGGTCCAGCGTCAAGGGGAGCTCCAATAAGGGGATGGGTGATATTAGCAGTCCAGGGGAGGCAGCCCCACAGTCTCAGTCCTCATCTTCCGCATCTTCCTCAGACATTCTCATTCTCAGGCATACTCAGACATTTTCAGACATTCTCAGACATTATTCTTTCTGTAATATGGGACGCTGGACCCGTTTTCCAGCAGGTGATGCTCCCCACCAATAGACGGAGCCTCTCCCTAGGTGTTAGTGGTGTCTGCTTTTATCAGCAGCACTAACACTGGCGGGGGCGTTGTTAAANAAAAAAAAAAAAAAAAAAAAAAAAAAAAAAAACAGATATCTATTAATATCTCCTACTTCCTATGTATGATCGTGATTCAATGTATGTCATATGATGGTAATACCCTATCTATCAGATGTTCAATTCTAAAAAAAAACGAACTAAGACATCATCCCAATCCTAACAAACAGACCAGGCAATGAAGCCCTAGCTTTGATATGATGTGATATGATATGATGTGATATATCAGCTTGAGATCCGGGCCAGCGCCCCTATACAGAGATGTGTTGATATCTCCGACATCCTATGTATGTTCGTTAATCAGTATATGTCAGATGATGGGAGACCCCAATCCATGAGATCTATAGATTCTCTAAACGAAATAAGGCATCAGCCCCACTCCTATCTATCAGGCCAGGAGACGAAACCCTAGCTTTGATATGATGTATGTAAGCTGGAGATCAGACCAATCAGGTCCAGCGTCTTCAATCAAGGATGTATTATAAATCGGGTGGGAGTCGGGCCCAGCGTCCCTAAACAGTGGTGTGTGAATATACGAAACACCAAACAAAGATGTATGTGATCTAAGACAATGAATCAAACCACCAAACCCTACCCGTGGTATGATGTGAATGCTCGGAATCAATCAACAATAAGCATGAAACCCTATCAACATCCCTTATGCAATCAAATGACATTGTGGAATCGTGGTACTATGCTTTATCTGAAGAGAGCAGGGGCAGGCAAGAGCAACCACCATCATCTATCCTACTCCTCCCCTGTGCCGAGCAGAAGCGTTCAACTCCATATCAAGGTTGGGGGGGGAGAGGATAGTAGACCTATTTTTGCAGCCGATCTCGGCGCTGGTCACCGCGCTGGTAGCGAACATGGATGCGCAAGCACCACTCCCTACCCCGCTGCTTCTGCCATGATTGCCGCCGCCGTCTTCTTCGTCGTTGTTGTTGTTGTTGTTGTTGTTGTTGATATCATTGTCACCATCGTTGTTCTCTCCCTCCGTGTTGATGGCAATCATGGATGTGGGAAGACCACTCCATGCCCTTCTTCTGCCATGGTCGCCACTCCCCTCTTCACTCCCTGCCCCGATGCTGCCATGATCGCCGCCACCATCTTCGTCATCGTTGTTGTTGATGTTGTTGTTGTTGTTGTTGTTGTTGTTGTTGCTGTTGCTGTTGCTGTTGTTGTTGTTGTTGTTGTTATTGATGTAGTTATCGCCATCGTTGTTTTCTCTGCCATGGTCGCCGCCCCCATCTTCATCATCGTTGTTGTTGGTGTTGGTAACGATGTTGTTGTCATTGTTGGTGATGTTGATGTCTCCATCGTTGTTGTTGTTGTTGTTGTTGTTGTTGTTGTTGTTGTTGTTGTTGTTGTTGAAGTTGTTGTCTCTACCGTTGTTGTTGTTGTTGTTATCGTTATTGTCGATGTTATTGTTATCATCCTTCTCGCCCTGCTTCGATTCCTGCTCGCCGCCATCGTTATTGTTATTGTTGTCACTGTATTCCACCTTCTCACCCTTCTCTCCTATTTCTCCCATTCCCTGCTTGCCTTCTTAGTTGTTATTGATGTTGTGGCTGGCATCCTTCTCTCCCTTCGCACCCATCTCGCCCATTCCTTGCCACTCCTCCATCACCCACTCACCTGCCTGCTCTCCCTTCGCAGTAGCGACCTGATAGGAGAGCGCCGTCAGGTTATCCCACCACCCGCCAGCCTTCCCTTCATGCTCATCTCTGCCCCACATAGCCGCACCACGGCTCATCTCTTTTCCTGTTGTTGCTGTAGTCCTCCCACTGTCGTCGCCGGTGGTGGTAGCTCCAACTCCACCTCCCACTCTCCTACCGCCCACCCTCCGACCCGGTCTCCGATATCCTGATGCAGATGCGAGTCACTGTCCGCACCGGTACTCTCATCATCAACCATCAGGTCACCCCCCCATCCACTATCCCCCCCCGTATGCTCATGTCTGCCCCTCAGTGGCACAACAGCTCCCCAGCTCCACTCACTTTCGATTTCGCAATCCTCGCAGACTGCACAAATATTTGCGTAGTAGTTGACCACGTCATCCTCTTCTTGCCCACCATCATCTTCATGCCAGACGTCGTCATCAGTGTCAAAATTACCTGTTGAATCTTGTCCTGTTGATGTGGCTCAATGGTTAGAGCACCGGTTGGAAATTCGCATTGTGGTATGAGGTTGCGGGTTCAAAACTCAATTGCAACCGTGCGCATGGACACCGGCAGGGCATTAGATTGACGCACGGCTGCCTGCGCACCACCCAAGGGTTGTTCATGGTGTTGTATGTTGGTTCCGGGTTTCACATGGGTTGCTTGGGGGTGTTGGTCTTGGGTGTTCTGTTGATCTCCCCAGTCTAGCAAATCACACGTTCGTGCCATTTCCATTAGCCGTTCACATATCACACGTTGGTGCCATTTCCACTAGCCGTTCACATGGTAGAGCCATACGATTACATGTTTCAAGGTCACGGGTTCGAGCTTGGTTCGGATCTTGGGGGTTTCCTTGTCCAGCTTACCCCGTTCTCTCTTCGATATACACACATGATGCTGCCTATACATCTAGATATATCGATTCACAGAGCACACATAGCCTTCGGGCATATACATAGCTTGCGAATTATACATGACCTACGGGCTACATACACAAGTTTCCACACATTATCATAGTACTGTCTGTGCATCTTCATACATAGATACACAAGTAGACACAGCCTTCGGGTACACACATACATGGTGAACTACACAACTATCAGACTGGGGGGGTCTAGTCAGTGGGTGGGGTCTAGTATCTGCGGTAGGGACAGGTATGCGCCACTGGAGTTCCTACTGATATTCGGGTAGAACTGTCTAGTGGCTATATATAAGGCTTAGACCCTGGGGTAAGGGTAGGGGTATAAGTCGCTCAGCCCAGTCCGAGTTCCGCCTGGCCTTGGGTAAGCTAGGGGAAGGACGGTAAGACTGCTTCAATGGGTGTCTGAAACCTAGGGCCCAGAGTCTCTTGGGGACTGTACTTGGGGACTGTAGTAGATTGTCTGGGCCTGGCGTCCGAAGTTTTCGTTCGACAAGGCTCGTCCGATTCCGCTTCCACCAAGGCTAAGCAACCTATCAGTCCTGGTGCCTATCACTGCTGTTCGGTCCAAGCTACCTGCCCATTGGTCGGGTAGGGTCTTGCTAGGGGCGCAGCGCTACTGGGAGCGCTGCGCCCCGGCAGCATCAATCATCAATCAAGGGCGAGGAGCCGCGCGCGCGGGAAAACTGCACGCAGCAAGGAAAATGGCGCGCGCGCGCTCAACGATTACGCGCGATTGGGCGCGCGCCCTGGGCTGAAAATTGGTCCACCGATGGGCTATGTCGAGGAGCTGAGGTGGTCCAAATTTCAGAGCAAATGGTCCAGGGGATGAGGAGATATTGAAGATCTAGCGCGCGCCATGAAATTCGAGTGTGTCGGGCGACGAGAACGACGGGGGCATGAGGTTGTGGTTGTACTGCTTGTATCTTTACGGGCGTTGCGGCTAGATGCAGGCACGGTGGACGCTCGTGGTACGATGCAGTTGTTCATGAGATGACGTGGTGATTCCGAATTTGCCTTCTTCCTCAACTATATGTAAGTGTGTGGTAAGTTTACGGCTACAGTGGTTCGAACCTCCTGTGGTGACTTGTCAACGGGCTTGGCGAGGGGTGCCACACTGTTTTCGACTCCCTATAGGGATTGAAGATGGCCGCTTATACCTTTGGAGTTAGTGTTGCTTTGAGCCTTGGACTAGCAGCGGGAGGAAGTGAACTCTTCTTTCCCCAGAGGTGCAGGGGTAGGGTTTGAAGGGTGGGAGGTAAGTGGAAGGAAGGGGTTAAGGAAGAAGGGAGAAGGTTTTTTTTCTCAGCTTTCACTTCGTACGGGATCAGTGTCGTCATAGTTGGGCCCTGTTTTAATTCGTTGATTACTCTCCGTGGATTACTTTAGTCTCGCGATATATCATGATGTTGTTCTATGGGATACGATTAGGTTATCTTCAACTATTCTTCCAATATTCTTGAAATATTCTCCTATTAAAGTCTCTAATGCTTGCAATATTCTTGAAATATTCTCCTATTAAAGTCTCTTAAAAACTTCTGATTCTTGGAATATTCTCCTATGAAAGCTTCTAAAAATATTCTTGAAATATTCTTCTATAAAAGTATCTAAAAAACTTCTGACTCTACAACTCGAAATGATAAAAGCTTCAAAAAATTTCTGATGCTCGAAATATTTTCCTATAAAAACTTCTAAAAATACCCTCGAAATAATTTCCTATAAAAGCTTCTAAGAAATTTCTGAAAAGATTCTTCAAATAAATTCTTATAGAAGTTCTATAAAATTTCTGATTTTATATAACCGTAAGTCTGGCTCTGGACATCTCAGATAATTCTGATTTTGATCAAGGAAGGAGGGAGGGAATTAAAAAGGGGAGGATGGGAGGAGGAAAGGTGGTCTTCAACCAGAGGATGGATGTCAGTGAAGGTGAGTAGGTCAGGAGGACGAGGCTGGGATGACATGGGTCCATGCTGGAGCTTGGCTTTGTGACCCAGGGGGGAGCTTGAGGCCCATGGAATTATGCCGAGGGTGGAAGGCATAACCAGATCGTCCAACACAAGCAGCGCCGGGGTTCTGACCCTGTAACCTGTGTAGGAGTTTGTCGCTATGGGAATTGTCGAGGGAGGAAGGCACTTCCTATCCGACAGAACTAGGTTGGTCGGTACAGGGGAAGGTTGCAGTGCCCTGTTACCTATGCAGAAGGGGGTATGAGACCAAGTGTGTTATGGTTCGAGGACCGAAAGTCGAGACCTACGGCTCCTTTGTTGAGGGGGGGATTTAGGATGGTTGGTATTTAGTTTTGACCTCTCCCCCCTTTTTTCTTTTTACAGATGGTTGTTCGGGGGTCTTAAGAATGCTTTTGGGCTCTCGGGATCCCTGGCAACTCTTCTTAGGTGGTTTTTGATGCTGTTATACTCACGGACATGTGGCTGCTCGATGCCAGAACGACGCTGGCCGGAGCTGGGGTGTTACCCTGTGACCTGTTGACGCAGGAGCATGAGGCCTGGTAGAGAGATCTGGGGATGCTTAGGGGTGGGCATCCTACGGAACAGCTAAGGGTTGCTGCTGGGACGACGCTGGTCGGAGCTGGGGTGAGTTGTGTCACCCTGTAACCTAGCAGGATGTGGGGTGTGAGACCTGGAAGAGCTCGCCAGGGAGTAGGACAGTGTTGAAAGGCCTCGGAAGGGGCGTTAGGGATTCCAAGGGTTTCTGAGCATTTGTAGCACCCGCCAGGTCTTTTTCTATGTTGTCAATTACAAGTTCTCAAAAAAGGGGGTAGTCTGTTCTGTCTTTAAAATGTCTTCTGGATCCTGGGGTTTCCTGGCAATCTCTTCTAGGTAGTCTCAAGGCTGTAATSCTCGGTGACTTAAGGCTGTTCGACGCCAGAACGACACTGGCCGGTGCCGGGGTGTTGCCCTGTAACCTGTTGACGCAGGGGCATGAGGCCTGGTAGAGAGATCTGGGGGTGCTTTGGGGGGGCATCCCACGGGACAACCAAGGGTTGCTGCTGAGACGACGCTGGCCGGAGCTGGGGTGAGTTGTGTTGCCCTGTAACCCAGCAGGATGGGGGGTGTGAGGCCTGGAAGCTCGGCAGGGAATACGACAGTGTTGGAGATCCGTGGAAGGTTTTGTTAGGGATTTTGCGGGATTGGGGGCTTTTTTAGGACTTTTGCAGTCTATTCCCGTACCTTTTCTGAGTAACGGGAAGGAAAGGGATCGAGAGAGAAAGGTATCACGCGTCCTGCTAGTGAAGGGGCTAGCTGGTAGGACAGAAATAGGGCATAACAGCAGTAGAGATGGTGGCTTTGCTGCAGTAAGTCTTGCCGGAGTGGGGTGAGGACTGTTGGTGGATTCCCGAGTCTTCTTCTGTTTTTTTATTATCTCTGAAGTTCCTTGTAGAAAAGCTCTGAAGTAGCTCTAAATTCCTTCAATTGGACTTTCTCAGAACATCCTTAGTTTCACTGTTATGAAATTTATGATGGTTTTTTTAACGTAAAAAAAAAAAAAAAAAAAGGGTAATGGTCCTCAGTGCTGGTCACACTGAGGTAGGATAGTGGGATAGGGGGTGCGCTAGAGTATTGACGTGAGGATGGGATGGGAGGTGGTCTCATATTCCAGGACACACACGGCCTACTGCTCCAGGTGATCACTGTGTACTCGGTGACTGGCCTCTACAACACCATGGACCTTTTGGGGGGGAAAAAAAAAAAAAAAAAAAAGAGGACAACCTTTTCGGGCCTTTTTTTATTGTCATTATACTATTACAGGGAACCCCATAGCAGGCACATCCGTGACATTGCCAGGGACGCCACCTTGGCCTTGTATTTTAGTCCTGTAGGCTCGGTTGGGTTGTGCTGGGGTGGGCTTTGTTACCAGGTAGTCCATTCTGGCCGTGTACTTCGCCCCTCGGGCTTCGGTCTTTGGCCCGTTTTTTATGCCCTCTGGCCCTGGTTCGGCTTGGCCCTATACGCCTGCTTTGGTGCTCGAATTCCCTCCTGGAGTATCGGGACCACTTTTGCCTGTAGGTGCATACTTTTGGCACTTTTTATTTTATTTTTCTATGTTTTGTAAGT